TTTTCCTCATCTGTTTCTCTTAGCATATGATCCTATTATATGGATTTAAAAAAAAATCTCGTGGGAATGAGCCCAACACATTGTCTAGCCCCACCCATCACAAAAAAGTAAAATTCATCAATTAGTCTCAGCAACAGAGACACACTCGTGCCTGAGACTTTCCTCCCATCTGCATACTAGACTTGGTTCAGTTTCTTTCTTTTATAAGAACTTTGCCCCATCACTGACCACTTCCATATCTCTCAAATAGCTTTTCCCTTTTGGTAAATAAACATGATCAATTTTCACCACCTTTAAAATAAAACAAATAAAGTAATAACTAAAAATAACACACATGCACACAACCTCTCTCTCTAATGTCAGTTAATGTAGTCCTGTCCAAAGTCTTATTTCCTCTTCTTTTTGGAATGGTTAACTTCTCTACTCACATTTCAATCTCAAAAAAAAAAAAAAAAATTACTTATGAAAATCCCACTGTGTCTATTATCCTCCTGACACACCCTATGCACAACTCTAAAGTGACACATTGAATGCCACACTGTAATTGTCATTTTCCTTTCTAGTGCCCCGAATAGGTTGTGGAGTCGCTGAGACACTGAGCTGTCCATCTTTGCACAGTGTACCAGGCAGGGCAGGTGCTCAGTAATGCTCTTTGAATTGAATGTTTCACCCTTAATTTCTTCAACTAAGGACACATTCCCCACTACCTTTTTTCTTGCCTTATAAAAAAGAAATTTATGTTATAAAATTTCATAAGAAATTTGAGTTGAAGTCATATTAGCAGTGGTTATCTTCTACCATCTGTCTCTCTCCAACCTTTGTCCCAACATTTTGTAACAATTTGTCAACATGTTTTTATCTACCACTAGACTCTGAGTGTTATGGATTGAATTGTGTACCCCCAAATGTGTGCTATAAATCCTAAACTCCTATAACTATGGATTAATCCCATATGTGAATAGGAATTTCTTTGTTATGTTAATGAAACCATATCACTGTAGGATGTGTTTGAAGCCAATCACCTTTAAGATATTAAAAGAGTAGATTAGACACAAAGAAGGAAGCACAAATGGAGGGGAAGATACATACCATATGAAGATCACCAATAACAGAGGAATAGATGTTGAAAAGAGAAAAGTACCTCCCCCAAGAGCCTGTAGAGAAAGAACGCTTTCTCTGAGAGCCAGTGTCCTGAATTCAGACATCTAGCCTTCTAAACTGTGAGAAAAATAAATTTCTGTTTGGAAAAGCCACCCACTTGTAGTATTTTTGTTATAGCAGCTCAAAGAAACAAAGACAATGAGCTACCAATGATCATGAAGATGGCACAGGATCTGGCAAAAAAAAATTTTCTGTTTTATTCAGGTAGCATAGTACCTAAGGTATGGGACTGCTAAACAGAAGGCTGTCAGCTCAAACCCACCAGCCACTCTTCAGAAGGAAGACTGGGCAATCTACTTCAGTAGAGATACTGCCTCAGAAACACAACGGGGGTCACTATGAGTTGGAATTGACTCAATGGCAGTGAGAGTAATATTTAAGATTGCTATGAGTTGGAGTTAACTCTACAATACCTAACAACAACAGACTCTTAGCTACAGTATGCAAGGAGCTAGCCTTACTTAACTTTGGATTTGGAGTGCCTATGCCAAAGGGCAGTTCACGATGACAAAAACTCACTGCTGTTGAGTTAGTAGATTGCCCAAACTTCTTTTTGAGGAGTGGCTGATGGGTTTGAACTGTCAGCCTTCTGGTTAGCAGTCAAATGCCCTAGGCACTACACCACCAGAGCAAAACTCTTTGCAGCTGGACCAATAAGCAACATCATGGTAAATGGAGAAAAGACTAACATCAAGGATTTCACTTTACTTGGATCCACAATGACCATGGAAACAATAGGCAAGAAATCAAACGATGTATTGCAATAGGCAAAATCTACTGCACAAGACCTCTTTAAAGTGTCAATGAGCAAAGATTAGCCTGACTCAAGCCATGGTGTTTTGAACAGCCTCAAATGCATGTGAGAGCTAAACAATGAATAAGGAAAACTGCAAAAGAGTTATTGTGTTTTCACTTGTGGTTTTAGCAAAATATATTGAATGTATCATGGACTGCTAGAAAAAAAATGAACACATTTGTTTTGGAGGAAGTGCAGCTGGAATGCTCTTTGGAAGCGAAAATGGCCAGATTTCATCTCTCATACTTTGGTGACATTGTTGGAGGGACCAGTCGCTGGAGAAGGATATCATGCTTGGTAAAGTAGAGGGTCAGCAAAAGGGAAGGCCATCAATGACATGGGTCGACACAGTGGCTGTGATGATGGGCTCAAGCACAGCAAGGATTGTGGGGATGGAGCAGGAGTAGGCAGTGTTTCATTCTGTTGTACTTAGTGTCCCTATGAGTTGGAACCAACTTGATAGCATCTAACAACAATGGTATAAAAGATCTCAATAATTTACAATAGAAAACGGAATAATAAAGGACATTTTTGAGGAGGAAAGTTAGAGTGAGCTGTGAGCAGGGTTTTTTGCATAACAGAGTGAGTTGAAAATGAAGAAAACCAGAGACACCCAATTCCAAAATCCTCACATGGTTTAATAAAGAATACAGAAATGATTTGTCAAAAGGCTAGTACAGTATATTTAATTAAGTGAAATATAACTTCTTTCCTATTACTTCCTCACAGTCTTTAAAATTCACATTTGGTGTGAATAAAATTCACATTTTATGATATATGTGCATTTAAATTCCACATTTTTTGATATATTAAGTTTTGATACTTATCTCAAGGTATATTTTTGATCCTCCTAATTAAATTATAGGAGCTCTGGTAGCATAGTGGCTAAAGCACTTGACTGCTAACCAGAAGGCTGGCGGTTCAAACCCACCAGCCACTCCTCGGAAGGAAGGTTGGGCAAGCCTTCTTCCGTAGTGATACTGCCTTGGAAACCCAAGCAGGGGTCGCTATGAGTCGGGGTCGACTCGACGGCACATAACAACAACGACAACAACAATTAAATTATATAATTCACCTTTGTTAAAAAGCAAGCACATAACAATCATACAATGCATTTGCCAGGCCTTTGCAGGCAATGGAGCATCATCACATGAGTAAATCATTCGTCTCATGACCACCCCAAGAGCTAAGCAGAACAGATGCTGTTATTTTCATTTTGCAGTTGGGAAAATTGAACTTCAGAGAGGTTAAGAGCTGTGTACACCTTAGAGCTGTGAATAAATTGAGGAAGAAGGTGAAGGTAAAAGGGAGAAATATTAGATTTGGTCTCTTGGAAATGCATCAGAGGAAGAAATGCAATCTTAATCCGCAACAACAAATACTTATTCAGCATTTACCTCTTCGAGCCCAGCTATTTTTTTTCCTGTGATAAACATTTTGCTAAAAGAAAGAGCAAGTAGAACTTCACAGCCCCTTAGACAGCATTTTTTTAAAACACATCTTGGCTTTAAATAATTTACTCCCTGTTGTTGTTATGTGCCATCAAGTCAGACCTGACTCACAGTGACCTCTCCTTGGGTTTCTGAAGCAGTATCACTATGGAAGTAGATTGCCCAACCTTCCTTCCAAGGAGTGGCTGGTGGGTTTGCACTGCCAGCCTTCTGGTTAGCAGTCAAGTGCTTTAGGCACTATGCTACCAGAGCTCCTAATTTACTCCCTAAACACTTTTAAATTCTAGAATGGCAGGAAAAATAATTACTAACTGTTTCAAGGGTAATACAGCTAGCTCACTATTATGTTGTTGTTGGTGGTGGTGGTGTTGCACACATGATACAATAAAAAGTTTCCTTTTTTCTGTACCTGATATATATATACCTTGGAAGGCTCTTGGATAATTAATATGCACTGATTAAATCATTGTACTGTACACTTTTTCTCCTCATGTGCTCCTTTATGTCCCTTCCTTTCTATTTTGCCCAACTAATGTTCCTATTTACCAACCATTTGCCACTTTTCTGTACTATGGTGACTTATACATTGCTGTGATTCTGTAAACTATGCTACTAGTATTTCAAATATGAACAGAATCATTCATGATGGACCTGTTTCAGCAGATCTTCCAGACTACAATGGTGAATGAAGAAATGCCTAGAGATCTACTTCCAAAAATAAGTCAATGAAAATCTTATAGACCACAACAGATCTTGCTTGCTTCAGACACATCATTCACAGGGATCAATCACTAGAGAAGGACATTGTGATTGGTGAAATAGAGAGTCAGCAAGAGCATGGAGACCCTCAGTAAGATGGATTGGCAAAATAGCCACAAAGATAGAATTGAACATGCATGAAATCGTGAGGATGTCTCAATACCAGGCAATAGTCTGTCCTATTGTCCATAACGTTGCAGTTAGTCATAGTTGCTTCTGCCAATTTTTGAACATCTGCAATAATATCTTGACTTATCACAGGATTATGAATAACAGAGATTTAAGAGATCTCATTGTCTCAGATCACTTAAACATATTTTTTGAAAAAGACACATGTATGTAACTAGAACATTAGAATGGAACATGCAACATTGTATCTGTCACAGACCAAAATGTGGATGAACTATTGAATTTGCTTTGTTAAACTATCAACCAAAAAATCACTGTAAAAAGTTAAAAAAAAAAAATTGTACCCAAATATTATTATTATTTATGATGTTTTTTATCTTTTTCCTACAAAAAATTATTGGTTTTTGTTACCTTGGTAATAAATAAACAAAAGTGTTAAAAAGTTTTGCAACTGTGGCATCTTTGCTTTAGTGACATATTGCTGGTTATACATATGATTTATTTGATAGCAAGTTTTTGACTGGGAATACAACTTCCATTTATAATTAGCCCTTAAAGAAAAATATGATCTATTTATCTACAATCTGTCTTATGACTTTTCCAAATTAAGTTTTGATAAAAACAAAGCTTTCTTAGCATTCTTGCATTGCCTCTTAGTGCAAAACATTGGAAGTGGGTGATGTGTAAGAGACCTAGAGACTTACCCACTCTTCCTCATCATAGTCTGAATGATGTGGTATGGAGTCCTGCCTTCTCATTGGTGGGGGTTGGTCCTGGGAACTGCTGTCCTCAATGCTGCTTTTAGGAGTGGGTGGTTTCTTAAGGACGCCACCTGGCCTGGCAGTGTAGAGTGCTAAAAGAGCACTCCTGACCAGCTGATCCTTGAAGGCATGTACAAAAAGCTCTGTCTGGAAAGAAACAGACAAGGATCAGGAACACCATGATAGGCATCTCAGCATCAAGGGATGAAAAGGTTAATTGCAGATTTGTTGGCACTTCAGTAGTGTGTATGGTAGAGGTACAGGTACAAGCAGGTGAGCAAGAAAGTGATTCATACCAATCAATGGAAAATATTTCAGTTTTGAGACGCTGCCAAGCCCTTGAGTCCTCCTGTTTGAAAGTTGATGCTGAGGTTCTATATGCACTATAAACACCATCTGTCTCCTCAGCCCCCTCTCTCTTTTAGTTCAAAATCCTGTCTTTAGAGATGAATTTCACCAAGGATAATCCTTTGAACAGCATCTACCTGCTGAGTCTTTCAAGTAATTCCAAACACACCTTAAAAGAAAATGGGATCAGTTTACATATATTTATATTGTAAACAGATTTAAAGGCTAAAGCAACAAAGGTATTTTTAAAAACCATGGAGACAGAAGACTTTTTTTTTTTATCATGGACAGATTATAATAGTAGAAAAGATACAGGAAGTGTGTACAAAACATTTGGATTTTATTCCTTATTATCATTCCCTAAACAGTCTCCTCCACCAAATTGTTTCACTAACGTTCAATGTTAAAGAGGTTACTGTGAAACTTGGCATGGTAGATTTTACAGGCTGGTGGTAAATACCTAGTAAATACTGTAGTAATTATGGCTTCCTAACAATAAAGAACTTTACAGCTGTACTTTGCAATTTCCTGATGAAATGTTTAATAGCTTCACCCTGTAATGTACTGGAGGGTGCAGTAATTGATTTTCTGTATTATAGTACGTTTAACATGCATGTGGCCTAACAATCTGTTCAGTCAAAAAGTACAAAAAAGTAACTTAAGCATTGACCCATATTGTTAATACATTCATACTTTGCAGTCTGTTGAGAAGCTGTCCTTTAACACATGGGGTTACTCTGAATAATTAAAATAATCAACATTTAAGGAGACATCCTGGATACAGTGCTGACTTCACCATTGCTGTAACTCAAGGTAATTATTTATTGGTGACTCTCAGTATGCACTCAACATTGCCATATCCAACTGGTGATTACGAAGCTCTCCCTCAGTCTCCCTGATGAGGTTTGGCAATCAAAGAAAACCAGTTAAATCACACACAACACAAGTGCCTAATCTCACTGTGTTACATCTGCATAGTCACTTCCCTGCAATAGATCATGATATTCTACAGCTGGATGGGGCCTTAAAGTTCAACCTCTTCATTAACTAGATAAGAAACGGAGAAAGAAGTGTGTTGACTTGTCTTAGAGCACACTGCTGCTTGCAGCACACATAGAAAGGATCCCCAGTTTTCTAACTTCTACCATGTACTTTTCCCATTGTTGCATACACACCAGCCCCACCATCAACCTAGATGTTTCTATCTATGGTCCCCTTCTTCCGGAACTTCAATTCCCTAACTCTTTGAACATTCACCAACTTTTGTAATTAATTATGCCCATAATTGCCAGTCAAACTCTCTTCACTGCTTAATTGTATGGGTTGCTTTAAACACTGCCTACATGTGTTAGTTATAATGAACTCACTCTGAAAGGAAGAAAAACAAAAAATATGGAGGAAAGAATATGTAAGCATAAAAAGTTGGAAAATACTTTGGTAATGAGTTTGGAAAATAATATAAAGAGGCAGTTAATACTAGAAAGAAACAGCAAATGATCATTGATATTCACAATGAAGTTTTAAAATGAGAATGGAAGGTATAAAATATGTTAGTGAAATAATTGGCTAGATAGTGCAAAAACAATAATGTATTTATAGTAAAATGGGAAATGTTATTTGTATTATTTTCCATATATAAATTTACATCAGTGAATTTAAATATTGAAAATGTCAATCTACTTTTATTCAGCTTAACTAAACTATTTTTCTGTTAAGAGTTTAATGAACTCTTTTGGTTTATTTTTAGAGTGAAACAGCTTGCTTTCTTTGAATTCTTGCTACTATAACTCCAGTCTCGGCAATACTCATATAATTACTATGTAGCTGAATATCTATTCAAATCCCATGAAATCTTCTACAGTACTGATGACTGTCATCATTTTCTTGCCATAGCATACTCACATCAAGTCCACTTCATTTGTTCAAATTCATATGAGTTGATTTGCCACCAAAAGTAAGGGAGATAATTCAGTCAATTCCCACTGTTTTACAACCCAGCATTTTCTTTGAGTAGCTGAATACAAGTCCCAGATTCTTTAAAAAACACAATGACAGCTGATCATTTACTTTATATCTATACTGACAAATTTACATGACTCCTTTGCAAATTTCCTGGATCACCAGGATCCTGTCCATAGAGTAGGATTTTGTTAGAAAGTAGCTGAATATTCTATAGCAATATCAAGTGATCTGGAAA